CCATTCCCTGACCCTGAAAAGTCTTTAGGTTGGGAATCACCACTGACCACTCCAATTCCTTAACCCTGGAAGGACCCAAGGCCATGGATCAGCACTGACAGCCCCATTCCCTGACCCGGCAAGGACCCGAGGCTGGGAATCACCCCTGACACCCCCTCTACAACCCCGGAAGGACCCGAGGCCATGGATCACCACTGACAGCCCCATTCCCTGACCCTGCAAGGACCCAAGGCTGGGAATCACCACTGACCATCCCCATTCCCTGACCCTGCAAGGACCCAAGGCCATGGATCACCACTGACCATTCCACAGCTCTGGAAGGACCTGAGAACATGGATCACCACCGATGACCCCCGTTCCACAACCCTGCAAGGACCCCAGGCCATGGATCAGCACTGACATCCCCATTCCTTGACCCTGCAAGGACCCCAGGCCACGGATCAGCCCCCGAGGTCCCACGGCCCCCGGGATGTGCTGTGCCAAAGGCAGCTCTGCCAGAAACACAGCAGAGCTCCCAGGGCCTGGAATTGCATCCCAGCCTTCCCAAAGGTCCTGGCTGAAACAGGAAAACCAAAACTCCCTCCCAGTCCAGCTAGGGAGGAAAACTGAGAGACAAGCTGGATTATGGGGAAGAAAACTGAGAGAGGAGCTGGATCATGGGGAGGAAAACTGAGAGAGGAGCAGGATCTAGGGAGGAAAACCAAGTGAGGAGCAGGATCTAGGGAGGAAAACTGAGTGAGAATTGGCTCCAGGCGAGGAAAACTGAGAGAAGAGCCAGATCTGGGGAGGAAAACTGAGCAGGAACTAGAACATGGGGAGGAAAACTGAGAGAGGAGCAGGATCTGGGGAGGAAAACTGAGCAGGAATTGGATCATGGGGAGGAAAACAGAGAGGAGCGGGATCTGGGGAAGAAAACTGAGAGAGGAGCCGGGTCCTGGCTGGGCTCCAGCCCAGCAACCCAACCACCTGCTCCACACCTGGGCCAGGGCTCTTTCCCAACACTCCTGTTTATTTCCCAGCTGGATTGATCGCTTTCCCAATCCCGAGAGTCACGAGGGCCCCGCAGCTCCTTCCCCCTCCTTTCACTGCTCCTCTGGAGCCAGAAGGGAGCAGACAAAAAGGGAAAATCGCCCTGGAATTACCCCCGGAGCACTGAAACCCAGCCGTGATTCAGGATTGCGACATTCCCAAGTGCCAAACACAGCAACATCCAAAGCGGAGGCCAAAACCCTCCCTTAAAACAACCAAAAAAAAAAAACCAAAACAAAAACCAAACAACCAAAAAACTTTCTTTCCTACCTCCTTGGTGAGATCTCCATTGACAGGCGCTGCCACAGCTCCCAAATCCTCCAGCTCTTCCCCAAATCCCTGCTCAGCTCCGCTCTCCCTCACGCCGCCGTCGCCGGCGCTGCCATCCTGCACAGCTCCGGGCTGCCCTCCGGACACGGATCCTTCGGGATCTCTGTGCACCAACCAGGCACTGACCTCGGTGCTGGGCACCTGGAACCTGTCCAGAGCCCTCACCTGGCTGAGCAGGCGGCGGGCAGTGAAGTAATAGTCCAGCTCGACGCTTTTTGGGTGGATGCCATATCCGTCCAAGGTGTTGCGCAGGTTGTGGAACTGGGTCTGGGTGTAGGCTGAGCTCTGGCCCAGGATGATCTCCCGCAGAGGTGGGAGCTGGGAATTCAGGTAGGTGTCCACGTCCACACGCACGCCGATGAGGCTCAGCAGGATGGTGAACTGGATGAGGCCCTCGGTGAAGTATTTCTTCAGAGAGAGCATTTCTGGGGGAGTGGAAAAGAAAAAAAAAATAAAAAAGAGGAAAAACAAAGGTTGAGGTTGGGAGGTGGTGGCGGAGGAGGGTGAAGCCTCCACACAACAGGTTGGGTGGGTTTGGCTTTGCTCTGCCCCACTTTCAAACAGAATCGTCTCTGCCTGCTAAAAGCCAGGAGAACCTGAGGTTTTCCCACGGTTTTCCAGGCTGTTTGTGCCCCTCAAAGCCTGGAGAGATCCAGGGAGACAAGGGAAAGTGTTTGGGAGGCTGGAAGTGCTGGGATCCCGGAGATTTTGGGTCATGCCCTCCCCATACCAATCCAGGGATGAGTCCAGGAGAAAAGTTTAAAGAATGCTCCAAAAGTTTTTTTACGAGGCTTGGTTTTTCCTCTGAAAAGCCAGGAAATTGGTGCGTGGAGAACTGGAGAAAAATCAAAGTTCAGACATGGGAACTCTCCCCAGCGGCTCCACCCTCGCCTTCCCTTTTGTTTTTATCACGCGGGGACGCGGAATTCCATGCTCCATGTGACTTACTGTCCGAAAACTCCACATGCAGCGACTTCCTCTGTCCCCCCCGCTGCTCCCCACGCTCCGGGACGGGGCTCTGCTCCTTCCAGCAGCTCCTCCTTCCCTTCTCCGGCTCCTCTTCCTTTCCCTCTTCTGCTCCCGACGCTTTTTTGAAGGAGCCTTTTATGAGTCAAAGGTCCCGAACATGGGAAGGTCCAAAGACTCCAACGCTCCCGGCTGCGATTTCATCAGCAGCTGAAATGTAACCAGAGAGCAAACACGGTAACACCGGGCCACCACCCTGCCCACGGCCCCGCTCGCACACCGCCTTCCCCCGCCCAAAAAAAAAACAAAAAACGAGGGAATTCCGATGGAAATCCCGATTTTCCTCGGCCTCGGCCGAGTTACCTTCGAGGACAACACTGTCCACGCTTCCCCTGCCCGCGCTATTCTTAGGCTGGTGCGTCAACTTCCCGCTGGCTGAAGGAATCCGGCTCCTTTTGCTTTGCTTAGCCCGGTTTCCAGCCGGGCCGGGGCTTTTCCATAAAATACCGGGAACGCTCCCGGGCCCGCCCTGCTCCCACCTCCCGCAGCGCGTTCGGGGCGGCTCCCGCTGTGCGGGGAGAACCGCCCGAGCCCGGAGCTGGGGGGAAACCCCGAGGAGGTTTTGGGGGGA